CATTACATTACATACATACATAACATGACACAAAATAACATGCATACATACATACATACATACATTACATACATTACACACATACATACATACATACATACATACATACATACACTACATACATACATACACACACATACATACATACATTACATATATAACATACATACATACATACCATACCTTACCATACCATACAATACCATACATTACATTACATTACATTGCATTGCCTTACACTACATTACACGCATACGTGCCTTACATACATACATACATGCATGCATGCATGCATGCATGCATACATACATTACATACATACATACAGACATACATACATTACATACATACATACATTACATTACATGACATACATACATACATACACATATACATACATACACTACATACATACATACATACCATACCTTACCTTACCATACCATACATTACATACATACATGCATACCATACCTTACCTTACCTTACCATAGCATACATTACATACATACATACATACATTACACACATACATTCATACACACATACATACATACATTACACACATACATACACTACATTACATTACATACCATAACATACATACATACATTCCATTCCATTCCATTCCATTTCATTTCATTCCATTACATACATACATTACATACATACATACATTACATTACATTACACTACATTACATTACATTACATGCATACATACATACATACATTACATACATGCATACATACATTACTTACATACATACATTACCTTGCATCGCATTACATTGCATTGCAGTACATTACATACATACAGACGTAGGAACACAAGAAAGGCAAGCGATCAAAAAAGCGGGCGCACGGACAGGCACATAGGCAGGAGAGAAAAAACAAAAAAGGCAAGCAGTCACACAGGACGGCCAGCTAACAAACGGGCAGGCAGGCGGGCAGGCAGGCAGGCAGCTAGGACCTAGGAAGACAAAAGGCCAGCCGGCAAAAAATAGGGGAGGGGTTGTGCCCGGGCGGGAGGGCGGGAGGGGTCGTGCCTGGAAGCACCGACAAAAATCAGCAAAACGGGCCACAAAAAGCGGCATCACAGACACAGGCGCAAACGTGCAAAACCCAGAAACAGAAAACAGCCCGAAGTAAGGACCTGGGAGCGCCGTTCGGGTTGGACAACAAACGGAAAAACACCTCCGGGAGCCCTCGAAACAAAAAAAGCTTTAAAAAATGACTGCGGCAATTCACTTTACTGGGGTTATCCCCGGGGGGTCGGGAGTTATGGCCACCCGGGGGCTATGTAAAAACCAAAGCGCACCAACATCATTATCACCCCCCATCAACCCCCCCTGCTAGAACAGAGGAGAACATAAGAGACGGTTTCAAGTCCTGCACACGCGCACGCGGATCAATCTCCGCGCAACCCCGGCGATGGTGAATCCTCGGGTCAACCGCCTCGGATCGCGTGCTCAGGGCATGAAACTGTCTCTTCTGTTCCCCCCTCTTCTAGCAATCAAGGCCAACCTCAGAACAACACTCCCTTCGCACGGCGCCTGCAGTACGACGGCGCGCTCTCGATTTCTGCGTCCTCCTCCACCGCGTGCTTTGCCGGGCGGCTGTGCCAGTTTCCGCTTGAAGCAGCTCCAGGGGTCATACCCCAATAGGCCGGCAGGCCGACAGACAGACGCGCAAGCAAGAAAGCACGCGGACAAGCCATTGCCCGGGCAGGAAGCAAGCGAGCAAACAAGAAAACAGGCAGGGCAGGCAGGCAGGACCGCACGCAGGCAGGCAACAGCCGAGCAGACGAGCAGAACAAGAAACAAACCAACATACAGGAAAGTCCCCCCAAGAAAAAAGAAACGCTGCCAACAGCAGCCCGAGTATCCACAGACCTCGGGGTCTACCTAGTACTACCAAAGGCAGCCCGAGTATCCGCAGACCCCGGGGTCTGCCTCACAAACCAACATACAGGAAAGTCACCCCCCCCAAAAAAAAGGGTAGCCGTACCAAAGGCAGCGCCAGCATCCGCAGACCCCGGGATCTACCTCACAAACCAGCATGCAGGGAAGTCCCCCCCAAAAAAAAAGAAACGCCGTCAAAGGCAGCCCGAGTCTCCGCAGACCCCGGGGCAGCCCGAGCATCCGCAGACCCCGCGGTCTACCTCAGAGACCAGCATACAGGCAAGTCCCCAAACAAAAAACACGCTACCAAAAGGCAGCCCGAATATCCGCAGACCCCGCAGTCTGCCTCAGAGGCCGACATACCGGAAAGTCAAAAAAAAGGCAAAGGAACGCTGCCCAAAAATGGAAACAAGAGCCTACAAAAAAGCCAGCCAAAGCATCCACAGACCCCGAAGGGACAGTGCCCCCGCGGGGTTAAATCCGGCTACGCCTCCTGGAGTAGCATGTCGCCGCTGGGCAATCAGCCTGCTAGCTTTAGCTATAGGGGCTGCACCCTGGTGCCGCCGACCCTCGCCGCTTGGTCGTGATGCCTGCCTAAATCCGGCACCTCTGCATCACCAGCTCGGGCTTGCGGTTTTGCTTGACTGTGGGAAACCCTCGCGAAACATCGCGTATATGCAGGGTTTAGGCCATGTGGCTGACATCGTCAGGGTCTGGGGTTGGGCCTGGGTGATGCTTCAGCGGGGCTTGGTCTGCACCAAAAAGCACTGTTTGTAAGTAGGTCTCGGAGGGGTATAAGCGAGGCTCATGTTTGCTCATTTTGGCGCCAAGCGCTGCCGGGCATGCCGGCGATGCTGGGCCCTCGCTCTACAAAACGCTGTAAATACCGTCAAAAACTGCTGCGCTGAGCGGCTTGTTGTTGTTCTGTCCGTTTTGCTGTTGCTGTGGCTGGCTCGCGTGCTGCGCGGTCCTTGCTTTTTTCCCGTTGGTTTTCGGGCCTTCTGGCGCGCGCGCGCGACCCCAGCCACAAAGCGCTGCTATTTACAGTGTTTTGTTGCATTTGCGTTTCCGGGCTGGCTTGCGGGCTGCTCTTTTTGCGCTGCTTTTTCTGGGTCCTCTGGCGCGCGCGCACGCAACCCCATGTCAGCCTTCTGGGTCGGGGCCCGGCTGGAGCCCAGAAAGCTGGCATCCCCTGCATCATCTGGGGTTGGGGTGGGCAACATGCATAACCTAACCAACCATGTCATAGCACAGAATATGTTTCTCATACAAACATGACATGACATGGTATAACTTCAAAGAGGCGTAGCCGGCTAGAGGCCGCAGGCCCAGAAAGTAAATTTCTCTAGTTAAAAAGAAGATGCTAGAATATGCTGAAGTAATCTCTGCTGTCACATGTAAACCTAAGAAGATTCCAGAGATAATTTGCAATGAAATAGTAATTCCTAGTACAAAACCAAGACCAAGATTCAAGAAACAGCTTATGAGCAGAGGAGAAGGATTAGTAATACGAGAATAGGCTGCCGCGTAGAGCCTTATCGCTTGCGCTGTTGGTTTTTGCCCTTGGCTTCCCCTGGCTTTCCCTTCCTTTACCTGGCCCTCGCATTTGCTTATTTGGCCTCTCTCCTGGGCCTTACTTTGCCTTGGCCCTACCGCTCCCTTACTCCCCTTGGTTTCCCTTCCCTTGGTTTCGCTTGCTTTGCACCGCTTTCCCTTGCGTTGCGTTGCCCTTGCTTTTCCTCATGCGGCCTGCTTTTGCTTGTTGTCCCTGGGTTCGTTTGCCTTCCCTTGCTGCCCCCTGCTGTCCTGTCCGTTGCTGCCCTTTGCGTTCCTTTGTCCGTTGCTATTTCTTGCTTCCCCTTGCGTTGCCTTGCTTCTGTCGCTGTCCCCTTTCCTTGGCATTTTCTTTGCCTTGCCTTGATTTGCCTTGCCTGCCCTTGCTGTCCATTGCTTTGCCTTTGCTTTGCCTTGCCGTCGCTTGCTTTTCCTTGTCTTCCCTTCCTTTCCTTGCTCTTGCTTTCCCTTGCTTTCCCTTGTTTTTGCTTGTTTTGCGTCGTTTTCTCTCGGATTCGCTGCTGTCTCTTGCTTTCCCTTGCTTCCATCGGCGTCTCGTCCCTTGCAACTTCTGGGTAACAAAGTAGCACGCGAAGCGCTCCCGCAGCTCCAGCTCGACATAGCGCATTCCGGTAGTAGTAAAAGTTTCTAGATGCAAAAGTTGCGTGCGACGTGCGCTGGAAAACCGCAACTTTTAAGCGCGAAGGTAATGTTCGGAAAGCACGCTCTGGCATCTCCAGCTCAAAAACCGCAACTTTAAAACGCAAAAGCAGCACGAGAATTACACTCTCGCAGCTCCAGCTCGCAAAAGCTAAAGTAGCACGCGAAGTACACTTCCGCAGGAGGTCGCAGAGCATCACCCACAAGAGGAAGCAGCATGCGCAGCATCATGGGCAACATCATGCCCCGCGTCACGCGCAGCTTCACCCGCAGCTTCAAATCACAGCGTCTTGCAAGAGAAGTTGACAGGAGAGATTTTGAGGCACGCTAAGCTCGCTCATCAGAACTTGCAGAAGCATTGCTTGAGCAGAGACGTTGACGTGTCTACGTCTTATTCTTCATCAGGCGGGGGGGTGTCAGAGCTTTATGTAACGCCGCCGTCCAGTTAAGACAGTGAATACACCGTCACCATCCGCAAGTAGCAGTTCGCAATGGCACGCTGCACATGTAGGACACATGTACGACAGCAAGCCCGTAACGTCGGCGGTCTGAGCCGGGTGTTAGAGTACACAGCCATATACACATACACGTGCGTAGCCACGTACGTGCAGCCACATTTAGCCGTGTCACCGTAAGCAGCCATAGTTGGCGCCCCCCCTGAAAGGTTGGGGCACGGCGCCAGACAAGTTCCGCCCGCAGGCAGGGCTCACCCTTTCATGAAAAAGCTGCCTTCCGCCTGCCTCATTGGAGGGCGGCCGCCTTTGCAGGCAAGTGAAACTAATGAGGCGCTGCAGAGGGCAAGTTGGTTGAGCACTCTTCGTCCATTTGGGTGCAGTCTTTTTGGGCCAGAACACCACCCCCTTGAAAATGCACACAACATTTACGCAGGAAAACCAATTACCTCCGCTCTGCCGATAGACCAGTCCATTTGGTGAGAACGAGTCGCCGTTGAGTTGGATCAACGGCGTCGATGTAGTCAGCCTCAAGTAAGTTCACCTGGAGGAACTTAAGAGGGTCCGTGGGAAACACGTACATGCTTTACAAAACAGATTCCGTTCGCAATATTGCTTCCCCCAAGCCTGAGAAATCTGAGGCGCGTCCCACGTCTGCGACTATTGACGGCTAACACTCTCAGGAGACCGCCTGGCCGCAGCCAGGAGTCAAGGGCAAGCGTCGCATCTTTATGCAAATTCTTTGCGTGAATTCTGTTCAAGATCTTTTTTGTTTACAACCGGCTAGAGAGCCTGGACAACAAGTACCCCGCGCCGGTGATGTTGAATCTTCGTGGGAGACTTGGCATACACTTCCAACTTAAAAGATTCGAACCAAAATATAGCTCTTCACGCGCCTCCTCCCAGGACGTGCGGCTGACCACTATTATTATTTATGTATTTGAGGGTTGGGAATAGGCTGTAGGCTGCGCAAACAAGAGCTGCTCCAGCAAGCGCTGCCCTGGGGCGCCACGCCTCATCCTTCTCGAAGGGGACTCGGACAAGTGCGGATGCAGAGGCTGGCTTGTGTTTGACAGGAAGTGCGCGTGTGTGTGTGTGTGAGCGCGTCACAAACCCAAAGTTGCACATCACGTGTTGCCAGCTCCCACGGCCCTTGCCATGCGCTTATGGCTTCCTGGGCAGCTAGTTCTTTTTCGCCGCAGTCAGGAAATTACAAGAGAAAAGGTTTCGCTGCCATTTACCACTCTGCCCTGTTTCAGGCTCGCTGGGGGCTGCTGTCACTCAACCCCCGAAGCTGCGCCGGTAAATGGTCTAACAGGACTAAACAATTGGCTAGCTAGAAGTTCGTGCGCCCTGGAAAAGAGGCCCGAACGGGGCTCCAAAGCTCTCCGGCCGGCCGGCAACAGGTCCGGCCAGCTGTCGTCGCTCATGTCCCAGCCACCTGCCACTGCCGCTCGCGGCGCGGAAGAACAGATGAAATTTCGTGGGCGCGCCCCGAAACTTGGATTGGCCTAGGTCAACAAATGAAACCATCAGGCATTTTGATCGAGTCGATGCCGAAAGCAAAACACACATGAGAAGCAAAGCCCTAAGCCAGGCGTCCCCTTTCAAAACTTGAGGCAGACCCGCATCAAGGCAGCCGGTGGTGGCGGAAAGGCGAGGGAGCGCCAGCGTGAGTTGGGTGTCAGAGCACTTCTTGAAAACTTTCACAAGGACCAGCTTCGTTTGGAGTGTTTGGCTTTCCCGCATCTTCTGCCTGGTAGCAAAAAACACGGTATTTCCACAGCGTTTTGCCGTATTTGTGCGGCTTGAAGGGTCCATGTGTGGCACGGGGCTCAGGGCGCGTTGGGATTTAGGCTGGCGGTTTGAGGGTTTATGTTCGGGGTTCAAGTTCAGGGGTTGGAGGGTTGAAAGATTAGGGGTGTAAAGCTTAAGTTTAGCCCTTGTACAATGTAGGCTTCAGGGTTTGTCAGGCTCTTTACGTTTACAGTTGCACAGTGTACCGTTGAGGGTTAATTTAGGGTTGAGGTTTCGCGGCTGTAGGGTTTAGGGTGTCAAGGGGGGAACCAAGAGAAAACAAGGCAACGCAGCTGCCAGCAAGGGGCCACGACGCAAGCAAGGGAAAAGAAGGGAAAGTAGGGGACAGGAAGGCAAGCCAGGGAAAGCAAGAAAAGCAGAAGACAAGGAAAAGCAAGGGACAGCAATGGGAACAGCGAGCGAAAGCTAGGGGAAGAAGGGCAAAGCAAGGGAAAGCAAGGGATGCCAAGGCAACGCGAGCCAGAGCAAGCGAAAGCAAGGAAAAGCAAGCGCAAAGGGAAAGCAAGGAAAAGCTCGGGCAAAGGCAGGGAAAGCCTAAGGAAAGGGAAAGCAAGGGAAGCAAGAAGTAAGGGAAACTTCGGGAAAACAAGGCGCCGGCGGGCGGTGATAGTGACCCTGGGAGTTTTGACTCATGCATGTTTCCTTCAGGCTGCCGAAACCATGTGTTTTACAGTGTTTGCGCTGTTGCCATGCACATGCTCATGTTACTTTCTATGGGCAAACCATGGTCCCAGGTCAGTTTCATGGTTTCCCCAACAGCACGGCCACGTTCGTTTTCCACGTTTCGGGCGGTTCGTCTTTCGGATGTCTGCCATGGTAGAGAAACAAAAAGCGCAGAGCACAAAAAAAAGCGCAGAACACCCGCAGCATAAACCCGGGCTCTCGTGCTGCCATGGTGCTGGGTAGGTGTGCCCGGCGGCGAGGGCAAGACGCATCATGAGTGCCAGCTTCCATGGCAGGGAATGGCAGTCGCAGCAACCTACGGCTAAGGACCAGCAGGGCAGCAGTAACGCGGGAGGGGAGGACAAAAGCTGAAGCCAGGCAGCGCACCAAGACGACCAGAGGCAAGGCAAAGAGCGCTCCAAGCAAGAGAAGTCAAGAGGCCACCTGGATGGGTCCAGAACAACCGACAGCGTGCAAGCCAGGAAGGAATCTGGCCCAGAACTGCAACGCAGCTGCAGCAAGCTGTCTAGGTAGCCAACGTCCAGTCAGTGGGAAGGAAGTGAGAAGAGCGACTGACACGGAGAAGCAGGATACAGCAGAGAGCCAGCAAGCTGTTTGCAGAAAGATGAAGCAGTGCTGCGGGTGGGGCTGTCGACTGCGCACGAAATTACCCCCCCAACCCCCCCTCCCCCCCATGTCTCAATGCGAAAAGTGGAAGAAACACTGGGGTCATTATTGACGCCGCTAGCGAAAACAATGCAAAATAAGCAAAAGCGATTGCAAAACAAGGGAAAGGGATGCGAAGCAAGGAAGGGAACCAAAGGAAGCACGGCAAAAGGGACAGCAAGCCAATGCAAGCCAAAGCAAGGAAAAGCAAAGGAAGCAAAAGGACAGCAAGGGACAACGAGGGAAGCAAAAGGAAAACAAGGGCAAGCCAGACACAGGAAGGCAAAGCAAGCAACTCCGGGAAAGCCAGGGACGGGTAGAACTTCTCGGAGGCCTGTTGGATTTCGTTTTATTCAAGCTACTGCCACAAGGGGTAGTGCTTGAGGAATGAATCTTGCGAAATAGCCAGCTTCCGGCCTCATCCAAGCATGCTGCTCTGGCCTGACAGTTCTGGGAACCCTCCTTCCCTTCGTCGAATAATCTGTAATCCTCATCGTGGCCTCGTCATCGGTGAACCGCTCCTTCTTCGCACTCTGTTGCGCTACCCAGGCGCCTTCGTGCGCGCTACCTCCCGTCTGCTTCTCAGCCAACTTCTTGCTTCTGCTGTGTCCGGGGTCGATTTTGAACACGAAATTGCCGACGCACACATGCGGGGCAAAAGCGGCACGTGCTTGGACGATCGTCTTCCTCGGCGACAACGATCATGGCGCTGATCTCGCCCGAATCTTCGCGATCGTGCCGAGACCCCTCTCGTCCCCGTTGCTCTTCAATTCACAGCATTTCTGGGACTCTTCTTCATCGTGATCGATGGCGTTCTCAAAACCAGTGCAGATCTGACCCTCGACCGTCTTGGAACACAATCTTCTCACATTGACGACAGGAGATCAACTCGCGGCTTCGAATTTCCAAGTTGCTCGGACTTCGATCGCTGGAATCGGCGTGTAAAACTTGAACGAATGCTCCGTGCATTGCGCGGCTCGTCTGGCCCGGGCGCCTTTGACTCGGGAGCCGTACTTCACATACCACCAGTGATGATCCAGCACACCGGCTCCTCGTCCTCGATAAGCTTGTCGCTGAACATATCGCTTTTGACACGATTGGGGTCGACCATATTGAGCCAAGGTTGCTGCGTTTCGTGTAACTGACGATGTAATGTAGCCATATTGACCACATATTTTGTTCGAGACTTCATTCAACCGATCTTCTCCCTGAGCTGCAATGGATATGGCACACACGGCTGGCGTGGCCGCTTTCCATATCTCGTTGAGGATTTGGGCGCCATCACCTTTAAACGAGCTTGCCTCGCCTTTGCCGACAACTTCCCCCATTCTCCGCATTCCATGTGCAATGAGATGGCAATCTATCATCGGCCCTCCTGAGGTTGCGCACGAAGTTCTGGAGCCTTGGGTTTACCTCCTCGGCATGTCTGGCGAGCAGCTCCCTGTTCTTCTTCGCGTCGGACGCATCGATGGGTCTTCCAGCTGGTTTCGCCCATCTCATTCTTTGGAGAACGAAGGCTCCAGCACAATTGCGCCCGCGGAACCTGAACGGACTGTCCGACTGTTCCTGCTCTCCCGTTGGTGAATTGACACAGCTGCGAACAACTTGCCAGTTGGGAAGAAGGTTTTATAGGCTTTACCAACCCGCGTGTTGCTATCAAAGCCCTTGGCGTGGCCATTGAATGTCTCCGACATGCTCCTCACAAGTTCCCAGACGCTACATATTCTTGACGACGTTTATGGTTGATGCATCGTCTTGGTATGGGCGTACGTCAAATTGTGAGCTGCCGCTGGATGGTCGCATCGAGCAGAGTGTTCATCACTTTGACAATCTGGATGGCACGCCACGAGCAGGTAATCGTCCTGCGTCGTCAGACTCTCAGCAATGGCGCTGCTGAACTCGACACGCTTGGCGAAGGTTTGTCCGTCCCCACGTTCTAGGCAGAATCTGTCTACCGGATTCGGTCCCAAGGACTTCTGCGCATGATCCTGCGCAGAAAATCACACCCTGCTTAGCCAACGCTGCATGACTCCATCTTTACGATGTTCTCCTCGTAGTCCACGGAAACAGGCTGTCGCTGGTAATAGCCATCAGGCAGCGCAAACAAATAAAAAGACGTACAGATCCAGCAAAACAGTGTGCTGCGTATCAAGTTGCGCAGACGCCGCATTCTTGGTCCGGATTAGGCTCCCTTGTTTGACGTGGAACGCCTGCTTGACTGATCCCCCAAACAGCGTTCCGGAGAGGGGGCCAGCCTTTCCGAAACGGCTTTTTGATCGATAAAGGGTTCTTTTGGCACCTTTAACTGTAAGAGCATCCATCGAACTCGTGACACTGTCCTGCGTGACATTGACAATTTTAGTGTCCACAGCTTGTAGGGAGTTCGAAAAGAATAGAGGCCTTTTTCTTTTTTGGCAAGGTTCTTAGCCTCAACAAACTTTTCAGTCAGTTTGCAAAAGTCACGTTGTTTCTGCGCAGTCTTCTTTTTTAAGCCTTGCCCATGATGATCCTCCGGCGCAGGGCCCGGCAAGAAAAGCATGTCGCTCGGCTTGTTGATTGCGTGCTTGGCGACCCTCCGTCATTGGATGTAAAATCGTACTCCAGCGTGACGGTGACGACCTGAATGCTGCACTTGCGCGTTTGCACAGTGAACCAATTGCGAGGCTCAGAACACGCAGGCACAATGGTCGGCGCGGTGGGATCCAGAGCTGCGAGGCGAACTTCGATGCAACTACGTCCTGTTCAAACATGATTACTCCTCGATCTTGGGAATTGATATACATGTGCGTCTCGTTGGTGCTGTTGCGCTGGAAAAATGATGTGGAGACCCTAAAAGGAACAGAACAGGAACACAGCAACCAGCAGCAGCCTGAAAACAAGGTGAACCGTGTATATATCGCATCATGATGTTAAAAGTGCGAAGCCCGTCCGGGGGTAGATTGTCAACCAATGCGGACGCGTAGGGCTTATCTTGCACGGCAGCGCGGAAGTCAACACAGCATCGATATGGGAAAGCCCGAATGTTGGGATGAAATTGCCACACAGCACGTTCAATATGCTTGCCAATGCGTTCCCGGCCCTCAACCTTCTCCCACGCACAATTGACTGGGAACCAGGTAGCGCGAAGCCACCGGGCGCGAATAGGTATACTTGCCGAAGGCGGAGGCTGATATCGCATAAGCTTGGGAGTTTTGGCTACCACAGCAGAATCATGTCCTTCGTTTTCATGTAGGCCTTCTTTTGCCGTTAGGCCACTACAAATCAGGCGGCGTCGCAGGAATCTGGGTGTAAAGG